ATCCCAAGAAAATGAAAATAAGGTCGGATTTGAATGCGGAAAATTTCGAAATATTTGGCAGAAACATTTTCTCATCATGCTGCTTTACCAAGTGTTCCAAGAGTTCTTAGCACACAAAACCCAATATCTTCCACTCCAGATATAGCTGCATACAATTTTTTCTTATATCGCAAGTTCTAGATAGAGAATAAAATGTAGTTAAATATTGCCTTTCAACAACTAAACGATGAATTTAAAGAATTCACGAGGACAACAACTGATAGCTTTTTCTACAAAAGCTATTCTATTTTTTACCTTAAAGACCTATCAGAAACTATATAAACTTCACAAGCTCCTTTCGATTGTCATTTCTTCGCTTGTTTTTCATAATACATCAAAAATTATACATTATTCTTGTGTGAATGCATGATCTTCATCAAACGCCTCATACCCCAAAACGTGAACGAAGGTGGTAAAAATTCAGCTTATTTTAGTTAATTTATTTTATTTTCAGTTGCTCCACAAAAACAAACCATAAGCTCGACTATGTTCGCCATAAAAATGCTTGCTTACATGAGAGACCTTTTATATGGCACGATTTGAAAAATAGACCTATGTGATTCAAATTCCCTATGATTAATTTAGTAAGAACCAATTTTCTTGACAAAATCTTAAAAATTCGATTTTCTTGACATATAAGGCCTTGTTTTTTATTGGAACCCTAATATGTATTGAAATTCAAAAGATAGACCTTGAATGCATAAGTACATGGGTAGACATTAGACGAGCAAACAGATGGACAGATAGACGGGCACACCGGCGAGCAAGCTTAGATCTGTTTCAGGGAATGTTTCTCTATTGAACGGCATAATAAAGATAGCTGGGTCTGCTTCAATCCCTTCTATGTACTACATATGTCCGCGCAAACTTAGTATACCCTATAAAACAAGTGTATGATGTAGGATAGAAGAAAGACTCACATAGCAGACCATACACCACAATGCAAATATTCATATCATGACTTTTTAAAATAAGGCGCTACGTGGCTGATCCGAACCATTCTCAAAAGCTGCGGCGTGCCAAATTTCGTCAAAAAATCTGAAATATTGCAGGATGTAAGTTGCACACAAGAAGACAAGACGGCCAGACAGACGAGACAAAAGGTAGATCTACCTCAACTCCATCTGGATGTCAGCGTATAAATCTTTCCAGTTACTTTTTTAACCTACTTAAAACTGAACCGGTTGCTTTTAAACGTTAGAAAATCTACGCCATGTTAAACATGACTTATTATTCTGTGAATGTGAGATTGATTGAATGACTTTCGTCGCAGACTTTCTTACGGTAATTTGTTTCTAATTTGTGTTTTGTTTTATTTAACTTTTTCTTCATTGAACTGAAATTCATATTTTATGTAAAATTAAATTTGTACAAGAAAGTTTTTTTTCTTCACGAGCAGCATCTACTACAAAAGCAGGTTTCTGCTTGATCAAGTGTATAATAAATTCAAAAATTCTTTCGTCAAATGAAAAAGTTGAAAAAGCGCTTAAGCTGTTGCTGCACAATGCCGTTCAAAAGGAAAATCATTAAAAAATGTATTTCGTTCGATTTTTGCTCTACAGAACAGTTTGTCTTTTCCACACTTGGAAAAGTGCGTATGCGAAGAGTTAGGGGAGCAGTTGAAATGATTCCATATTCTTTTCCACTCTGCGCTTCGATGTGTTTCAACAAGTTCTCCTAAACATTCATTTTGTTTTTTTTTTTTTTTTTGGTACCATTTTTTCACTTACTAGTGACGATTTTCAGTAGTCATCAGTATTTGCTCAAGTGATTTGTGTCACTAACATTTTTGCATGTTTACAAAGCGAAAGTATGCATGAATGCGAATGTGTGTGCGCGTGTGTTTGTGCGCGCGCGTTAAGAACATTTTTCAAGTTTCCCTCATGTACACGAATCTGTCAGTGTGTCAGCGTGTATTGTTGTTAAGCTACAGGGCTTCTATAATTTATATTTTTGAAATGGCAAAGCAAAAGGAGCATTTGATTCCATTGTGTAACATCAATTTCTGTCATTTCAAGTTTATTGATATGCATGACAAGTGATTTAAATCCCTTGTGCGTTATCTTCACTTGGATGCAGAAATTGTCACTTGCGATGGGATATGATGGGCGAGTTTTTTCTTTTTTTTTTCTTCTTTTTTTATGTAAGATTGTACTGCGTGCTTAAAACACATTTTTTATTTATTTTTTTTTGTCATTTCATTGTTGGTCTCGTTTTTATTATTTTCTTTGCAACTGTTTTACTTAATTTGCGTCAATATATATATATATATATGTCAATGTATATATATATATATATATATATATATAGATACTTTCTCACTTATCTTTATCCTTACGTGTTAATTGTTCCATTTTTTTTTCTTATAATTTTTGTTTTATTATTCTACTTTCTTTATATTAAAATTATGTTGTAACTGATTATGATGATAATAGAAAGGCTTCAATTATTGTAGCATTGCTTGAAATTTCATTTTCATCTCTACTAACTAATTTATATTCTAATATATAGGGGAAATAATCATTCGAAATATATCTGCTACGATTAACATATAACTTTTTAGAATCCACCATAATACTGGTATAGTAAATATTTTACATAAAATGTTTCAAAATACGTTTCAGTTATCTCATATTGGGCTACTATTCACCTTTAAAACATAAAGTCAATTTCAATTTCAATATCAATTAATTTCAATATTAATTAAAAAGTTTATGTATTGATCAAAGGATATTAAAAATTCACACATTTTTCTTCTTTTATTATTATTATTATTATTATTATTAAATGTAATAAAATTCCTGGGAAAAGATTAAATTCCCCTTAGATTGAGTTTGTCGATAGTCATCATATTATATCAATATATATATATATATATATATATATAGAAATTCCAAAATCCTAATACTTTTTTAATAGGTCGCGTAGCAACTCATTAAGGATTATTTTCATAATGAACATTTCGATGGCTCTATCATATACTTGCACAAACTTACTGTTTCACTGTTTCGTTATAAATTCTAATATTTATTTGCTTAATGCAGGGAGATTAAGCTTAATATACTTTACAGTACTTGCTGTACAAGTGTATATTAAGTTTGTTGCGGACGTATACAATAGTTTTTTTTTTTCGTGTGACCAATCGCTTAGGGGATGCTTTTTTATTCGCGTAACACGATGAAGGTCCGAAAGAAAGGAGATAAAGAAAGGAAGTAGAGAAAGAGTGGCAGCAGCAGCTTAGCGGGTATGGGCCCAACCAGTAAATTTTATGCCTGCGGATAAGCACTTACTGTAACTATGACCAAAGTAAATGAAAATAAATTTCGGGATCTCTTTGTTAATTTTATGTAATTAATTACGATATATAAGTAGCATTGGAAAAAATTGAGTAAATAAATAAAATTTATTATTTAGCTAAGCATTTTAGCACTTTTTTTGAGTTTATTCACACAATTCAATTGAATTGTTGTTAATTTTAGATGAATTCCCCGCTTTCGTCTAAAGCAAAAATCTATAATAATATCATATAAGATTATCGTTACAAAACAATTTACTCAAGTTGAAATATTATATACCGATTAATAAAATTCTTTTCCATATTATAGTTGGGCTTGCAGGCCGATAAAATTGAGCTACGGTATTACATCAACTATATATACTTCATCTGTTGCAAATTTCTACTTTAATTAATAGAATTTTGAAAATGCCAACAAATAGATGGGGATAAGTTATGACCGAAGTGGGTCTATTTTTCAAATTGATTCAAAAACTTTATATTTTATGGGATAACCGAAGCGTATTTTTTAAATGTTATGAATATAATAGCAACCTTATTGACACTTGTATTGTTCGTTGGAGAAGACGCTCTACAGAATGTTTTCCCAAATCTTATAATTTATCTAATTTATGACACATTTTATGGAAATTACATTTTATGCAGCTTGATTGGTATATTTAATGCATATATTCTAAAATGTAGTCATATTTGTGGTGGGTTATAAAAAGTTAAACTAAAGCTCAACAAAATTTCTCGGGTTTACTATTGTTTATTAATGCGAAAGTTTCCCGAAATATAATAGAATTTATTTGTTCATATAAAGCACTTCTTTTGTTTTTTCTTCACACATTAGATAGTCCGAAAATATCTTGCGGCTTTTCCCGGCAGCAGACTAAAATAACTATTTTCACTTAGCTAGACTTATAATTAAAGTGTTTAAAGGTATACACAGTTATATAGAATAGGGTTATGTTTACTTTGTGGTCGACACAAAACTTAGTTCATCCAAAACAATTATTAGTTGATTGTATAAAAGGCTTGGACGCTGTAAAAAAGGTGGATGTTTGGATTTGACATCAGTGAAAAGAAATTCATTAAAATGCTGCATTGCTAGAGAAAATTGTAATTGATGATGAAAAATGCATCGATGAAAAGAAGTTTTTTATGCTTTATGAGCTTTTGATGCGCAACCAAATAATGAATTCTAAGGTATACTGTGAACAACTAACCAAATTAAATGAAGCTCTCCAGCTGAAACGTCCAGAATTGTTGGCCATATTTGTTTTCTCATTCGCCAGAAGTTAGTAGAGCTTCACTGGTATGTATTACCATATCTATCGTACAGTCCTAGTATTGCATCGTCAAATTACACCGCTCCCGGTCTCTACAAAATCCTTTATCTGGCAAAACTTTTAACACAGAAGACAGTGTAAATTCACATAAAATAAAATGTTTTGCTGCAAAAGATCACAAATTTGATGAAGAAGGTATAATGAAATTGTCTCACAAGTGGCAATCTATTATTGAATAAAATGACATTTATTCATCACATAAAAAAAAAAATGTATATATTTTATTTCATATTGAAAAACCGCAAGATATATCTGAACCACCTAATATATATATTTATATATATATATATATTATTTTTTTTAAATTAAATGCAAAATTTTTTTTTTTTTTTCACCTAAGATAATTAATTATAATTATGTGTGTAAAAAATGTGTAAAATCTTTTTCTTTGTTCCAAATTTTTAGAATATGTTTCTTGAGAAATGAAGTAAGTTTCAAAAATAAAAAATTCTTTCATTCGTATTCATTAAAAGTAAATGTTTTAATTACTTTTCTCTAAGTGAATATTAATTTTCTTTTTCGTTGATCAGAGCTTAAATTAAAGATTACAAAAGAAAATCTTGTGCTTATCATTTATTGAGGATTTGTTGAGATCTCATAAGAGTCAACAGATAATAGGATTTTTGTGTTCTTAGCGAGTTGTTTAGTTTTGATAATTAAAAAAAGTATTTATGTTTAAGTGTTTTTGCTCTCTTAAGATTCTCAGCATGTTCCTAAGTCCTCAATTCCTTCGTTATGTTAGATTATTCTCCTTTAAACTGGAATACCAGTACGATCTTTAATTTTACCTAATACGTTAACATGCACTTTTGCATAACCGCTCGACTTTTTGGGCAAGCTACCTAAGCTTCCACTTCCAGTTCCAACGAGTGCACTGGTAGTGGTGATGGGTGCAGCTGTGCTTGCACCAGGAACATCCATGGAGGGGGAAGATAATGGCGATGAATGTTTAGAATCAGTATGCGAGGTTCTTTGAGTGGTATCACCATGACTAAGCAATATGTCTTCGCTGCTGGGCCGTATGTTCGTAGAACAGGGCGTATAAAATGGTTGTAATTTTTCCACTTCATTATCGATGGCTTTGAATTGCCAACTCCAGTTGGCCCGATAAAGGAATGGCCGGTGATCGAAACGATTATCATCTGGACTATAGCTTTCCGCATGCACGGCAGGGGTTAAAACAGTCATTTTATGGCGATTAATGGCGTAACATCGAAAGAAATGTTTAACTTTATCAGCTACTTCCGCAGGGCTAAGATCCGATTTCCATGTGGCTACAAGTTCACAGAACATACTATAGGGGCCACAACAGGACTGTTTACGCAAACGTCCATATTTGTTTAGCTCGGCATAAGTCATACCCATATCTTCTTCATCTGTTTGTATTAGTTGACCATCTTGTAATGGTTCCAATTCGGCAGTGGGAGGAGCATCTATTATTGATTCCAAAATGGGTAAATTAAATCTAAAGTAAATTAAATTTAATTAAATTTAAGTTTACGCAAGCAATACGAAAATGTAATGCAACTCACTGATCTTTAGCGTAATTTAAAAATTTCCATAAATCAGTTTTCGATATACCCCCAATGGGATTTATATCGGCAGATGAGCAGTCATATTTAGTGAAATAACCTCTTAGGGATTCATCCACATTAGCCGAACCTAATACCAACAAACCGCCAGGACGATTTCTAACCCAGAGCATTAATTGAGCAAAAATGTAGGCTAACACCATCCGTATACGGGATTGTATATTTTGTAAAGCCAAATTCTGACGAGCACATCCGCCTTGACTGCGAAAAAGTGGCGTAAGAGCGGTTTTGGATATGAATATACCCAATAAAGCGTTTATAGCGGTGTCAATATTGATATCAATGTGATGACTGCCCAATTGATTAGCAAGTGAGCAAGCACGTTGCTTTGTTTCTATGCTAGAATTTACGCTACCCATGAAACAAGTAACCAACAAACGATTGCACAAATCAGCCGGCTTAGTAGGCGTATACTCTTGATCAGCCAAAATTTTGCGTACATCGTGTAATACCTGAGCGTCCCCGGCTTGCACTGCCTGAAAAATTAATCTGCACATCGAGTGAACAATGGTAGCCGAACTGCTGGAATCTACCCCACCCGATAAAGGTAAAAAGAAACCACCTTGTCCGGAGCGGCGCAAATAATCCCACAGCCAACATGCGGGCCCCAAGGCAATTTCTTCTTCTGCGGAATAAAGTGGCCATTGAATAGGTGTGCTAGCTATTTTGAATATATCGTTATGCGTGGACATTTCAAAATCGCATGTGATGCGTGGATAAGAAGGGGCTGAATCGGACATAAGGCAACGTGAACGTTGCGATACGCGATAGGATCTTATTTGTTCTAAATCGATCGTAGCTAAAGTTACTTCTACATCTTGCAATGAAAATTGTTTACCACGCGCCACTATTTCACCGTTGACCGCAATATTGGAGCAGCCTTGGAAATACATGCGCTGCCCATCACAACCGCGCAAATTACTGTATAGGTATGCGCCGCCAGCCTTAAAGCTTGCCGTCCTTATTAAATCACTTAATATATGAGACTTGCGTAATTCCCAATAGCTTGCGGAGCCGTTAACCATAATTTCCACGCCTGACAATGACATATCGATATGTTTGCTACGTTATCCAGAAGAAAATATTTAATGAAGAAATCAAAAATATTTAGTTAAACATTGAAGCACCTCTTTATCGTCCATAGCTCTTCGCATATTTCATAACCTATGCATGTGTCTTTAGTGGCAATAACGGCATCGCCGAAAGGCACCACATCTTGGCCTGTGTGCTGAGAAATCATGCGTGGCAAAAAGTGATCCTCGGTTTGGAAAGCCTTATCAAAAGCAGATGATGATGATAAGCAGTTTGAATTCTATCCCATATTCACTCACCTTCGTCCAGGCTGTAAACCAACGTGATTCTCTATAATCACCACTATCACACATAGCCATTTTGGGTCGTATTAATAGGATTTTACGATTTAGAAATATCACGCGACAATTATAAGCTACGTTGCGATGCATTACGGGCATACCAACGTCAATTAACATATTCTCACTGTATTGAAACAATGAAAATAAAATTGGGTGATTTAATAGATGCAATGATTTGAAGCGGATTTTTTATTTATTTTTTTTTTTTTTTACCATAACGGCGACATTATAATTTCTAATAGAACTTCCCAAGAATGCAGATAGGTGTCGGGTTCGCGGAAATGATCTTCACAACTGTAACCACTATAATGAGAACAAGAAAAAATTGCCTTCGAAATCTTTCTGCGTTTGCGTCTCCACGACCGTTTACGATCTTACCTCACTTCCAATTCTGGCCCACTGCGATAGCTAGCACCCATGTCTTTGGCCTCTAAAATTGATTGCAATATGCGAGCCAAGTTACCCTCGAAATCGAGGGCCCATTGATTTAAAGTTGAAACGGCCACGGTTATCTTACGACCCATACTATTTGTAATCGTATGTAAATTACTATATTGAAATGATTTTTTATTGTCGTAGTTCACGAGCAAATTCTTATTTTTATTCTTAGATGAGATCGCGTTTATATTTATAAAATAAACGAATGCGTGCAGAAATTGTAAACAGTATAATTGATGATGATTGTTATTGGCAGCGTTTAAAAGAAGGAAAAGTTTAAAGTTCTGCAATGAAAAAAAAAAAAAAAAATGAATTGTTTGCATAAATTATCAGAATATGGAAATAGTTTAGCTTTTCAAGTCATTGGTAGGTAAAAATATTTTCATTTACCATTCGATTTTTGCGAAAGCGATTCTCTAGTAGCGGATTCATTTTCTTGGAAACAATGATTTTGCGAATGTGTATTAATTATACCTTACAGCACGTGTGGTTAAAGGGTATATTAAATTTGCGCGAATGTATGCAACGACGACAATAAGGACTCGAGATAGCCTCACATATTATTGTATATTTTAATATTTGATTTTTTATTTTTTATTTTATTTTTTTTTGTAGTAGGAGCCTACTTAGAATTATTGTTTCCTGTTTCCCCCTGCCCCGTTTTTTTTTTATATAAAAAAAAGAAATGTGATAGAGAGCGCCCACTATCACAAGGTCAGACCGTCTTGCTGAAATGACATGTTGGCGATATTCGATTTTCTTCATTATCTCCGGCGCTCCATTGACCCCCTAAAGTGAAGTACTCATACGCGGGCGTACGCATAAAACCAGAAGCAATAATTTCTAATTATCAACGCAATAAAGCAGTGTCCAGTCAAATAAATCAATCATGTCAATAAATAAGTCCCAAAAGCACGTGTCTTTTATTATATTATATAGGCTTTTATAATTTTTTATTGTTATAGCTATGCATGCAAGCCCATTGATTTCTGGCAAGAGATATTGTCTTAAAATTTTAACTGAATTTAGTCAGATATTAATGACCCTTGTTTATTGTTGACTTGTAAGTTTTTATACTCTACACTACTTGTGCTAAGGGGTATATTAAATTTATGCGAACGTTTGGAACACACAGAAGCGCTTGAGAGAGATCCACCTTTTATTATACGGATCTAAGTCTGTCTGTCCCTCTGATTTCGATCCATGTAAATTTGTATTCAAGCTGCAGGTAACAATTTTCGAGATATTTTGATGAAATTTGGTACACGTGACATGTTTTGACACAATGATCGGTTCATTTCTTCGATCACTCCGCTATTGTGAAAAATTCCTACATAGAAAAAATTGAAATTTCAAAATTTCTCGACAAAAGTGGCTACGTAATCGTGTTTCGATATTCTAAATTGGTATAAAAACCTTAGATCGGCTGCCGCAATTTTAGGAGCCCACTCCCATATAACGAAAACTGAAGTTTATATGACAGAAGGAGTATAATAAGTGGTCTTTAACTGGTTATAGTCTCGAACTGTTTCTTGTGATGGTTTTCCTCATACAAACACACGTGGATACATATTTATTTATATTCTTCAAATAGATGAATTTTTTCTTTTTTAAATATTTAAATATATATTTATAATAATAACCTTCTCAAATATTATTATTCCGGTAGCCCTCCTTCCATCCCAAAAAAATCGTCAAAAATGCGTCTTTTCTTTAGTGCTGCTAGAGAGGTGTTTATTATCCCCTTTTAAGTTATTTTTTTCTTTGATAATTCCAAATATTTTGTACAAAGAATGTGTTTTAAGGAAATATCAAATCAATGAAATGATGGCAAAAAACTTTCTCGCACGAATGTATAAAAATGGAAATGTGAAAATGTTTTCAAGAAACTTTTTTATGTAGTTTTCCTTTTTATACCTACCAACGCACGTTAAGGGGTATATTCAGTCTGTCTAAACGTTTGTAACACCCAGAACGAAGCTTCAGAGACGCTTCAAAGCGACAAATTTCGAATCGATTCAATCTTGTATGTCTGTTCATCTGTGTAATGTCTGTTGTAAACCTTTTCTTGGTCCCAAAGAGAAGCTACGAGCCTCAAGTTTGCCAAAAACATTGGAAGTTCTTGGACGCAGATTGGGATTGAAAATGGGCCGAATCGGTCAAGGGACACAGCTTTTTTTTATTGCACAAAGTGAGGACGCCTCTGTTCTGTCTGAATAAAAAATTGTTTTTTTACTCATTACCCATAAACTATAACAGATAAATCTACAAAAATTTAAAGATACATTCTATGGGCAATCCTGGCAATCCTAAAAGTGAAAAGAATTAGCTACGCCTATTTAATTTGTTTTTTTTTTTTTTTTGCAGAACTTTTATAAAAACAAGCTTCAAAACCCCCATAGGGTGTATAAATTCTTGGCCATTTTCAAATTTGGAATGCAACTAAGCATGTCCATCCGTTCAACTGTTCGTCGGTCCGTTCGTAAAAGTGCGGATATCGTATAGAAACTTGGGAGAGAATTTTAAAAAGACGGAAAATTGTCAAAAAATACGCCTACAACACGCCCATACATCCATACAACGAGAACTGTGAACACCTCTGCTTTCCGTGTTTTTTGCTGTGTATTACTCATAATTTAGAACACATGCACTATATAAGTGCCGAAAATCTAAAAAAATCAGCCGCGCCCACCCAATGTTATAGATTATGAAAAATTTATTTCTTTTGCTTTTTTTTTTATGATCACGGTGGTGCGTATAGAAGATTCGGTCACGACCGAATATAATTTTCTTACTTGTAATTTTTTTGCTTTTTGCTTACATGACTTTTCTGGTAAATATATGTATAGATATATATATATATATATATATAAATATATGTTTATATATGTAATATGTATATATGAATATTATATTAAATCTTACCGAAATAGTAAACCGATGTTTATAAATAAATATCTTTTAATACAATAATAACTTAACTGGTTACCCGTTTCACATCCCAGACACAACTAAGCACATTTTAGTTGCATTAAAAATTACGGTTGTTTGCTTTCATTCCTATAGAGAAATGAAATGAATTAAAAATAACTTTTATTATTATTTATTATTGACGTCTCGTCTACGTAATTGAGCGTTTACCCAATGACGTCTTTTGTGCCTTTTCTGTTTTTTTTTTTTGTTTTTGTTTTTCTGCTGTCGTATTGTGAAGTACGCCCGACACCGACGACGGGTGTTTTTGTGTATTGAATTTCAATAGCATTTTTACTAACACCGTCTCGCTACTGCCATTGTAATGGTTAGGATTAAAAATCCTTCGCTTGTTATAAATTTTAAAAGTTTACTAAGTTTGTGATTCCGTTTATAGTACAACGCTCCCTCCATTGGTATTAGGGGATATTTGAATTGAATAATTGTGCTCGTGTAAGCTAATAGCGTACCCTTTAGGCAGTAGACATTGATTAGGAAATTTTTATTCATAACTTTCCGAAGTGACCTACTTAAGTACATAGGGAAACGCTATGATAAATAGTTACGTAGGTCGTTACAATTACAGCGCTAGCCTGGTAGGGTAAATTCTGGCATTTTTTTTTTGTTTTTTTTTTTTTTTGCCTTTTTTGTTTCTTGTGTAAAAATTTGCTGTGCGAAGATATCTATACTCTCAGCTTGTTTGGAGGGTTATTTTTTTCCTGCTTTTTTAATAACCTTTTGCTTACACATTCTTTTACTAACTGCATTAAATTCGTATATCGATCAAGCAAACTGTGCAAATGCCTCGTCTTTTATTTTATAGGACTGCTTGGATTGAAGTGTGGTGGATAGATTGTAAAAACAAAGAATTGTTTTTCTATGATGCCATACATACAAGCACACATTTATAATTTCACACATTTGCGTATGTAAAGATATGAACGGTTCTTATTTTAGCAGTAGGGTTTTAAAATAATTTCGATTATTTCGCCCAACTTTGGAATACATTTGCAGTAATAGCATTGGGTTTCCTGTTCTTAAACGAAAGGTATAGTGGCTCCAATGAGACCAGAAATTTAGTTTGCGACTCCCGCAATTGATACGAAACCTTTTCATTCTGTTTTCTTTCAATTAAGTTTTTCTCAACTTTAGTGTGTGTTACTTAAAGCAGAGTTAAACGACCGCTAGAACTACCTTCATTTTTCTAATTCCATACGTATTGTAATGTGAAAGAAACCTCTGTCGTTTACAGGAATTTCATAATTAAGATTTTTATTGATGCCTTCGAAAGAACTAAGGTGCTAATCGCTTACACAGTTGCGGTATTTGTCGAAACGAACAGTATTGGATGTAATTGAGAAAAGCGCTTGCTTAACCTATGCTGTCCTTTCGCTTTGACTTCCGGCTTGATTACAGCAATCTCTGTTTACATTGGTCTGTACTGATTGTTTGAGTATATTTTAGAAGATCACGATGTACTTTAGACAGTTGATAGCCCGAAATGAAGAATAATGATTTCAAGTCGAAGGTAATAGTAAGTAAAAAAAAAAAAGAAATAAATAAGGTAAGAATAAGAGTACTAACGATGACAATGATAAACGCAATTTGAAAATACAAAGAAAAGTGTTCGGTTTTGTTTGTCAGATTAACATGAATCGTGGCAGCCTTTGCCCAGCGTCTAGCGCTACGGTTCGTCGAAATATTTCCTCTTCATGTTACCTGTGTCAATAGAGTCCTAAACTTTCTTCTTGCTTCATATAATTTGAACATAACTCTCATAAGCCAAGAAGCGTTGCTCCCTTTCTCTCGATTGACGATTCCTCAACTTTTAAAATTTCTACTTTTAGTTTAAGGGCTTTACATGAATCAGTTTTCAATAGTATTTTTATGATTTGTAAATTGGGTCACTTAGGTTAGTTTCTTTACTTTGCATCTTCTGCGTACGTTTTTTCCGTTCATTTCGTTTGCTTTTTCGTTCGTATTTAATTAAGTTTTACAATCAATTTGAACCCGTTTAAACATATAGATTCGATGCGTTAGCTAAGGCCTTCCGCGAAGCTTAGTTAAAAAAGCTATCAACCAAGAAATACTTTTTGAAGATGATAAAAATCTTTGTTGATAATCTCTTAAGGAAACCCCTTAAGCCACATATTAACGCATAGAGATTTGGGATCAATTCGTGAAGTTATGAAACAAGCGAAGAAAATAATATGGAATAATTGAAAACCTATCAAATAAAAGGAAGTAATTCAGGTTCTGAATATATGTATTTTTATATCTTACATCATTTGTGGTACAGAGTATATTAAGTTTGCGTGGACGTATGTAACACCCAGAAGTGCTTACAACAGACTAAATTTTTATTTTAGCGATCTAAGCTTTTCTATCCGTCTGTTAATCGTATATGCTTCTGTTATACTTACAGGTCGTAATTTTTGCGATATTTTGATGAAACTTGGTACACTGAAGTGTTTTGACCCTAGGGCGAACGCTATTGAAAATGATTCGGATCGATCATATTGTTAAAACACTTAAGCATTGCAAATTTTCAAAATTTCTCGGCAACACTAGCTGAGTGATAGTACTTCGAAATTCTAAATTGAAGTGAAAATTCTGGTTCGGTTGGGGAAATTTTTTGAAACGCCTGCCATAGAATTGCTCTTATCAAAACTGAACCTTTATATGGTAAGAAGATCAAAGTTTCAATATTTCATTGTGAAAAGTGGTTCATCATGGCAAATTGACAGGAAGTCAACCTTACCAAATTTGGGCCACGTAGGTATATTTTATGGCCCCGTTTGGTAAATCCTTATATGCCAAAAATGCGTAATTGCTTATGTTTTATGAGGAATGTTTTTCCAATTTAGCAAAAAAAAAAGTAATGGTAAGGAATTTGCACTGCACAAGTGTATTTTTTAGACCCCGAAATATATAGGCGTTATCACGAAAAGCACACCCTGATGTGATAAAAACTTGATAAAATTTTCGGGAAAATGAATGAAGTTTGCGATATTTGGACCACGTCATACGACGTTTTGAGTATCCTTCAATATGCAGGCGTTCATGAGAAAATCACCTTTACATGCAAATGCGTATAATTGTATTTTGTCATTGTGCATTTTGTGCATATTGCGTATTGTCATCAAAATAAGTGAATGAATATCTGTATTAGGCGAAACGGTGTACGGTACCTAATTGTCGGCCTTGCTCGATTGTAGCATCGT